GCCGGCCGGGGGCGGCTCCCCCCGGCCCCCTTCCTGAACTCTCCGGGCGGCCGCTTAGGGCAGGGACGGGGAGGAGCCCAACCGCGGCCGCTGCGGCCCACACGGACCCGCTCGGGTTCCCTCAGCCTCCGACGCCCGCTCGCCCGCCCGCCCGCCGCGTACCGCACCGCGACACGGCTCCGCCCACCCCGTGCCCAGCCGCTCTTGGCCGGACGCGCGCGCAGCGCCGACTTTTTATAAACACCTCAAGCCCCGCCCCCACCTCCCTCGGGGCGCCCAGTTCCGCGAGACGTCAGCGCGCCTGCGCCTTGGCGTTTCAGCGTTGTAACCCCTGCGCCTGGGGTGCGGGTGGGAGCGAGAGGCCCAGGTGGGGGCTGCGGGGCGGGCTGGCCAGGGAGGGCGCGCGACGTACGGAGAGGGGGCCGGACGGGGGCCTGGGGAGCGTGGGAGCAGAAGGCCAGGGATGGGGACGGAGGGAACCGGCTGGGGACGCCGCTGATTGGGCCGTTTGAATGAAACGCCGCCACGGCCCGGCCCGCGCGCTCCCTGACGCCGAGGCAGCGCACTCGACTAACGGTCGCCGGGGACCGGATGGGGCGGGGTGGGGTAGGCGGGGCCGGGGGGGTTTATACACCTGATGGAAGGGTCGTGGCCCAATAGGGACAGAGCCCCGCCGTTTCGCATAGACCAGTCTTTGCCGGGGAAAGCGACTCGAGAGGCGGGCAGGGATGCAGGCTGGCCAATGGGGACCTCGCTCGGCGCGGCTGCCGTTAACCTGCGGGTGTGCGTGTCGGTGGCGTGAACTGTCGCTCTCGGAGCCCCGCCCCGAGGCGCGGGTGGCTTCCGGAGATCCGTCTGTGTTTTTCTGGGAGGCGCCATTTTGTGCTGTGACCTCGGTCCTTGAGAAGGGCCTGGGCCACCCGGCCCTCCTGCGGTGTGTCACCTCGGACCTCGGCCAGGCCTGGGGTCCCCTCGGGGGTAGACGGGCCCCGGGGTCCCCGGGACCCCCGGGATGGATGACGAGGGAAGGTCGCCGAGGCCCGAGGCTTGGGAGGGCGTGTGCTCATCTCCTCTGACCAGCTGCGTCCTTCCTCTGTGGAGAAGGACGCGGTGGCCCGGAAAGAGGGCCCATCTTTAGTTAACAAACAACAAGGGCTGGGAAGGTGGCTCAGTGGTAGAGCGCTTGCCTTGCATGTGTGAGGCCCTGGGTTCGATTCCTCAGCACCACATCAGCAGAAAAGGCCGGAAGTGGCGCTGTGGCTCAAGTGGTGGAGTGCTTGCCTTGAGCTGAAGAGCTGAGGGACAGCGCCCAGGCCCAGAGTTCAGGCCCCACGACCAACAAAAAACAAAAAACCTGCAGTAAGAACTGAAATCGGAATCAGATGGTAGGCAGTTGACTGCATGTGAGTTTTGTAGGTGTTATCCTAGGGTGAGTCTGTCCTGTTTAACTGGCAAGGAAAATAAGGGGGGGTACAGATGAAGTGACTCCCTGGGGGCCCCAGCCTTGACAAGGCAGAGCTGGTGATAGGACAGAGCTCTAGTTCAGAAATCCATCTAAATATTGGGCAAGGTGACACACACCTGCACTCCTAGCTCTCTTGAGACTGGGGCAAAGGGGTCATGAGTTTGATACTGGCCTGGCCTACATAGTCAAACTTCATCTCATAAAACAAAAACAAGCCAGGTACTGGTGGCTCACACCTGTAATCCCACTGGCTGAGATCTGAGGATCATGGTTAAAGCCAGCAGGAAAGTCCATGAGACTTTTCTCTCCAATGAACCACCAGAAAACTGGAAGTGGTGCTGTGGCTCAAGTGGTAGAGCACTCGCCTTGAACTGAAGAGCTGAGGGACAGGGCCTAGGCCCAGAGTTCAAGCCCCATGGCTGACAAGAGAAAAGAATGAAGTCATCATCTAAAGAAACAGACTGGTGCCCCAACTTGTGTGTCATATTATGTGTGTACTGTGGTACACCAGGGGCCTTTCTAATTTATGTACATGTTTGATCTTCCATAGTCCTTGCAGGTAGACCCTGAATTCATTCACCTACCAGGTGGCCACAAGATGTTTTTGTATCCTGCTTTCACAGAACTTCCGTTCTTGTGGGGAGCCAGGCAGCAAGCAATCAAGTCTCTACTTTCACGTCAGAGGGTTGAGAATGAAGAGTATTGTCAACTCCCTGGGCTGCTGTCTGTCCTTGACTATTCAGGGAAGGCCTTTTGGTGGAAGCATCATTTGGACCATGGAAGGTCTAGGAGAAAAGCATCAAGCAAAGGAAACAGCAGGTGTAAAGGCCTGGGGAAGGGATTGTGCTTAGTGGATTTAGGGAAGCAAGCAGAAGCAGCCAGGCTAGGTTGGCCTGAGCCTAGGATAGTGGAGGACTTGAGCAGTCAGAGGTAAGGTGAACATAGTAGTTATTTATATATGGTGATGCTTCCTCAGCTGTGGTATGGGCCTTGGTTGTTCTTTTGTTTGTTTTGGTTTTTTTCCCTTGGTCAGTTGTGGGGCTTGGACTCTTAGCCTGGGCACTGTCCCTGAGCTCTTCAGCTCAAGTCTAGAGCTCTACCACTTTGATCCATAATACCACTTCCGGTTTTCTGGTGGCTTATTGGCGATAAGAGTCTGAAGGACTTTCCTGCCTGGGCTGGCTTTGAATTGCGACCCTCAGATCTCAGTCTCCCGAGTAGCTAGGATTGATTACAGGTGTGAGCCACCAGCTTCTATCTGGGGCCTTGGTTTTGTATTTTGTTCTTGGTATGCCTGGGAAGGGCCCTGCTCATTTATGGGTGCCTTTAAATAGATCTGGGGCTCCCTCTATTGGCAGATGCGAATGCTAGACCCCTGGACACAGAGACCTGGCATTGGGTTAAAGCTACATGGCTGTGCCCCAGCAGCCTTCCTTGCCCCCCTCCTACACAAGTCCAGGCAGAACAGGTCATGCTTTGGGATAGATGGTGTGAGCGGGGCGTTCAGACATCCCATACAGGATGACAGGTGACATCGTCTTAACAAGTCTTCAAAATGCCCTAGCCCCTTGTCTTAGCCCTGCACACCCTGAGAGGTCATAGTAAAGAATTGATTGAATGGCTGACATGGTGGCACACAGTTGTAATTCCAGCTCAGGCTGAAGCAGGCTGTTCACTCTGGCCAATCTGGGTTGCATAATGAGACCCTGTCTCTCCTGCCCCCCCCACCCAATCCCCCAAAAGAGAACGCATCAAGTGCCTTTTTTTATGTTTATTCAGAAATTGAAGAAGTTCAAGTCTTGGATGATACTGAAAGGGGTTCAGGAGGTTTTGGTTCTACTGGAAAGAATTAAAATTTGGGCCAAAAATAGAAAATGAAAAGGCATACTTTTTATTAAAAATAATAGGTTTTGGGGCTGGGAAGGTGGCTCAGTGGTAGACCACTTGCATTGCATGCCTAAGGCCCTGGGTTCGATTCCTCAGCACCACATAAGCAAAAAGAAAAAAGCCGGAAGTGGCACTGTGGCTCAAGTGATAGAGCGCTAGCCCTGAGCTGAAGAGCTGAGGGACAGCACCCAGGCCCAGAGTTCAGGCCCCACGACCGGACCCCAAAAAAAAAAAAAGGTTTTGTGTCAAGTGTTTTTAGTGTTTTGCATCATAGTAAACTTAATAGTTTTAACTTGTGAAACATAGTTTATTTTCTTGATGATAGAAGGAAAGGTTACTTTTGTCGGGATTGTATGTTTCTGCAATTGGTAGTTGAATGAAAGTCTATCTGCTTTGTGAATACTTGAGACAAGTTTTAAAAAAATCAGATGTACAACTCAATGAAGAGTATCTCTTTAGTTCTGCTTTAAAAAAGATATTCCTGGGGCTGGGAAGGTGGCTCAGTGGTAGAGCACTTGCCTTGCATGCATGAGGCCCTGGGTTCGATTCCTCAGCACCACATAAGCAAAAAGAAAAAAAAGCCGGAAGTGGGGCTGCAGCTCAAGTGGTAGAGCGCTAGTCTACAGCTGAAGAGCTGAGGGACAGCACCCAGGCCCAGAGTTCAGGTTCCACGACCGACACAAAATAAATAAAAAATAAAAATAAAAAATGGTGGATGTTCCTTTTTTCTTTCTTTCCTTTCTCTTTTTTCTTTTTTTTTGGGGGTCCGGTTATGGGGCCTGAACTATGGGCCTGGGCGCTATCCCTCAGCTCTGAAGCTCAAGGCTAGCGCTCTACCACTTGAGCCACAACGCCACTTCTGGCTTTTTCTTTTTGCTTATGTGGTGCTGAGGAATCGAACCCAGGGCCTCATGCATGCAATGCAAGTGCTCTACCACTGAGCCACCTTCCCAGCTCTCTTTCTTTTTTTTTTTTTTTTTGGGGGGGGTTCTTGGAGCTTGAACTTTGGGCCTGGGCACTGTACCTGAGCTCTTCAGTTCAAGGCTAGCACCCTACCACTTGAACCACAGCGCCACTTCCAGCTTTTTCTGCTTATGCGGTGCTGAGGAATCAAACCCAGGGCCTCATGCATACAAGGCAATCACTCTACCACTGAGCTACCTTCCCAGCCTTTCCAATTATTTGAATCATTAGGGTCACAGAGAATCTGACAAAAGTACTAGATTCTCTCTCCTGGGGTTGGTTGTGTGCAAATATTAACTAATAATGTCAAAGGAATAATGAAGTTAGGAAAGTATCACTTGGGTCTGGGGACATGGCTCAGTGGTAGAGTGCCTGCCTAGCAAGTGTGAAGCCCCAAGTTCAAACCCGAGTACCAGCAAAAGTCAAAAAAGTATCATCTGGCTGGTTGGTGTGTGCATGTGTGTGCACGCCTGTAACTCAACACTGGGAGGTTGATGCAGGAGGATCTCAAGTGTGAGGCCAGCCTGGGCTACACAACCCACACAGGCTACATAGTCTAAAAAAGGATGCATAGGTATTGAACTCAGAGCCCCACCTAAGTCATGCCTGCCCCCACCCCAAGTCCTTTTGCTTTCTGGTTGGTTTCTCAGATAGGGCCTTTTGTATTTACCTGGGCCAGCCTTGGAGGTGATTCTCCTACCTCTGCCTCCTGAGTAGCTGGGATTACAGGCATGTACCACTGTATTTAGCTGTAATCTGTCATTTCTTCCTCCTCCTCCTCTCTTTCTCCTTCTCCTTCTTGAAAATCACTTTATTCTAATTTATTCAAAGTAACACGTGAGCAGCTGCTTTCAGGAGCCCACACACTTGCCAGTCCTTGCCATATGGCTCTTCGTCAGTCACACCACCTCTTCCAGAGCCAAAGTAGTTAATAATGAGGGGTTCAACAGATAGTTCTATCCCCTTTTCTTCCACCATCAGGTACATGTTTATCTTCACCTAACCTGATCCTCAGAGGCGATGTTCAATTTCTTGAATTTGAACTTCTTGGTTGATGAATCCATGTATGATTCTGATTGTTCCGGCCCTCACTGAAACCCTTTGTGGAGCTGAGCTGAGCTGCATCCTGTTCTATCTCCAGCAAGGGCCACAGAGCTGCTGCCGCTGTGCTGGCTGGGTTCCCAGGGCTCCTTGGACAGATGTGAGCCTTGGAGGCCTGAGCAAAGCCCCAGCGATGGCACAACACCGTGTGGGCCTGATGGCCAAGACCCTGGCCAGCCAGCCACCTTGGCACAGCTCTCCTCTGAAGGACCCTGCTTTGCCTTCTCAGTCAGCTGGGGTGATAGGCATGAGCTACTTGGACCTGACTAGAAGCATGGATATTTGGGGGGAAGGGGTGTGGTGGACGGCAGATGTTGTACCGCTCTGTAAGCCTGCAGAGCCTTCAGAACACAGGCTCAGCAGAGGTGAACCTAAAAGCAAGTGCGCACATCTGGCCTAGAAATTAGGAGTTGACAGCCCCCCTCCCTGCCCCAAGTCAGGCACAGGTTAAGAATAGCTGTGCAGAGGCTGTGTTTACTGACACTGCCATGCTGGAAACGGAGCAAGTGTTAAGTTACAGAGATGGAAAGGCACTGCGCATCCTGGCCGTGCCCTGGCCCAGTACAGCCCATGCGGGGGTGTGGTGGGGGAGGGGTAGCTCTCTCCTTGCTAACCATAAATGGAGTCCCCAGCTGCTGGGTAAAGTCCCTGGGCAGTGAAGATAGAGGCCGCTGAGCTGGGGTATCACATGCGGGTCCTGCCCCATGAGAGAAGTAAGACTCCCTCATCCCCTCTCTCCTGGGCACAAGCTCTGTGAGGGGGGCAGGCCAATCAGGGGGGGTCTGGTCATGGGGCCTGAACTATGGGCCTGGGTGCTGTCCCTCAGCTCTTCAGCTTAAGGCTAGCACTCTACCACTTGAGCCACAGCGTCACTTCTGTCTTTTTTTTTCTTTTTGCTTATGTGGTGCTGAGGAATCGAACCCAGGGCCTCATGCATGCAAGGCAAATGCTCTACCACTGAGCCACCTTCCCAGCACCAGCACCATCTACTTTTAAATCTAAACTTTAGTTCTTATTTTGTTTTGTCAATCATGGGGCTTGAACTCTGGGCCTGAGCACTGTCCCTCAGCTCTCCAGCTCAAGGTGAGCACTCTACCACTTGAGCCACAGTGCCACTTCCGGTTTTCTGGTGGTTTATTGGAGATGAGTCTGATGGATTTTCCTGCCCAGGCTGGCTCTGAACTGAGATTGTCAGATCTTAGCCTCCTGAGTAGCTGGGATTCCAGGCGTAAGCCACTGGTGCCAGCCTTCCCTCTAGTTTTCTTTGCAGAATGATGAATAAACAAAAACATTTGGTTTCCTCTGTGGAAGCTTCCCTAATGGGCATAAACCCAGCCCTTTAGGGAAGACACCTCCTCTCCCTGCTATGGTCTGCAGCTGAGCTCTCAGACAGGTCACTGTATTTGGGAGGCAGACAAAGGAGGGCTGAGAATTAGAGGCCAGCCTGCGATCCAGAGCCAGCCCCTCTCACAGAACCCAAGCTCATTCTATGCCCTCCCCTCAGTCTGGCCATTGCTGAGGATAGTGGGAAGCCAGTGGCGCCCCAGCGAGCATGCTTGGGGGTAAGGGAGGGGCTCGCTATTCCTTACTATACACAGGTGGGGAGCACACCTCCTTTCCCCACAGGAAACGTTGGACCACGAGTCAGGAAAATGTTTATTTAAAAAAAAATTAGCAATTTGAAGCTCCTCTGGCTGTCTCCCAGGAAGATCAGGGTTAGAGACCTGTGTTAGAGAGGACTGTCAGGAGAGGGGTGCAGAGTTGTGGAGTGCCCCCTGGCCTGTCCCTGTCACTGGCATGCCAGGGTACATGTGCACATGTGAATATTCGCGGGGCGCTTCAGGGGTGGAGGGGACTCGGAGGCCAGCCCCCAGCTCTGGGCATGTGGAGGGAGACAGAGAGCAGAGTGGCTTGCCGACTGCCTGGAGCCTCTCCACACTATGGCTTATTCAAAGTAAAGAGGCCGAGGCCGGAGCAGGAGCAGAGGGCAGGGCTGGAGGCCAGACCCCCAAACCCAACCTTGGAGCGGTCATGGGGGAGGGGGTTGTACAAAAGCTTTGGCCAGGAACACCCCAGATTCCAGGGACTGGAGAAAGCTGAGTGTCCTGTGGGGGTGGGAAGTGGAAGAGTTCGTCCAGGCATAGATGGCCTCTCCAGCTGGCTCCTCTGGGCTGGCCTGTAGAAGGGTGGAGGAACTCCCTCCTCCCATCAGCCATCAACAAGGAGACCAAAAGCCAAGCTGGGGCTTGGGTGGATGGAGCTGCAGGGTATGTGAAGAGCCTCTGGCTAGGCTCTGCCCCAGGCTTCTGTCAGGAAAGGATGAGCTGGGGGTGAGGGTGGGGGCGGCAGCATTTTCGGAGAGACATTAAGAGGAAGGGGCGGCCCAGGGGAGGGAGAAGAGGCCCCCCCACACCTCGCCCTGGGGCTGGGGGAGCATGTAGCCCTTTAAGAGTGGGGAATGGCCGCCCCTGCAACATGGCTATATACAAAGATCTGGGGACAGATTGTGTGCTGGGCTTTGGGGACTCCCTGAACACCCCTCTGGCCCTGGCACTCCCTGGTATGCTGGGGGGAGGGGGAGGAGGACCCTCCACCCCTGCAGAAACCATGGCTCTCAAGCAGAGCTGCCCAGGCCAGGCCAGCCCAGAGCAGTGCTAACAGTGCCAGGTGAGTTGGGTTGTTGGCTGCTGGCCCTTCCCAGGGGTGTCCCTGGGGAGAGGATGGCCCAGGCCGGCGAGCTCTGATCCAGGGGGTGGGGGAGTGGGTGGGAGAGTGGGTGAGTCAGAGGACAGTGATGCCCTCCAAGGATGGCCAGCCCCACCTCTGATGACCGGGAGAGGTCGCAGGATGGGCCCCATCATGGACGGGACAGCTGTGGAGGGCAGCAGGCTTCTTAGGAGGAGCCTGTATGTCCTCACCAGTGGGGGAGACCTGGCAGAAGCCATATCTGCACAGAGCTGACCCCAGCTTTCACCCAGCTCAGGAGGGAGGCAGCGACCTTATGGAGTAGGGCGGGGGGTCTCAGGGGGGACAGCTGACCCCAGCCTGGTTCATGGGAGTGTGGTGCTAGTCCACCCCCCTCCCTCTCCTGGGGACAACTGCAAGTGCCACACATCCCCTGGGAACAGCCAAGATCTGGCCTGTCCCAGCCTTTGGTCCCTCAGATGGACATTTCTGGTGGGTGATGGCATACAGACGCAGTGGAGCCTGGACAGCAGGAACCCTGCGGCTGAAACACACACTGGAAAATGATGCTTCCCACTGCCCCAGGTCCTGGCGTGGTGGTAGCAGGTCTCGTGGATGGCGACAGTCTTGGCTCTCATGGTTCCTAGGGGGGAGGGGACGACGCCACGGTGGTGACATCACTGGCTCCCAGAGGCATGGGATGTGGAGACACTGCAATTGAAGCTGACCCGAGGAGATGATGACACCGTTGGCTCTTGGGGTGCTAGGGGAGGAGGAGAGGGAGGACGCCGCAATTGCAATGCATCGTGGGAAGCGATGACATCACAGCTGTGGGGGACCTGGGCCTGAAGGTGTATGTCATTTCCCCTGGGAAGTGATGGTGCCCTAGCTGTAGTGACTCTGGGAAGCATACATCCTTGGTTTTAGCCAGTCCCGACAGAATAAGCTGAGGACATCGCTGTCTGCACTGACCCCTAGGAGATGACAACATCACCACCGTCATGGAATTTGGGGAGATGACAGAGTCATGGATGAAGGAGTCACCATGAGTCCTGGTAAATCCTGGAAAAGAGTGGCACACTAGGTGATCCCAGGCAGTGACACAGTTAACATTCGTGTGTGGTGACACTGGTACTGACGATGATGGGAGGTCAGTGGCACCCACACACTGACCCTTCCCCTCTAGGAGGCTAGGCCTCTGTCCACAGAGCCAATGATGTCTCTAGATTTGGCAGGAAAAGGTGATGCCAGCCTTTGGTGGGCAGAGCAAACTTGGAGCGGAAGTCCTTCCCCTGGAACTGTCCCAGGAGCCGCTGCACAGCACAGGACCCTGAGGCCGGCCTCCCTTCATATGTCTGTAGGGTCAGGAACATCAGCCCCAGCCCGAATCACAATGGGACAAGTCAGGGGGCATGGGGACTCCGTGGGAGCTCTTGGGACGACCCTGCAGACAGAGTGCTGGCCCAGCCGATGCGCCTCAGAGGCACCTGACACCTTCCCAGGGCCGCTGGGGGTCTGCCAGGCCCAGCTCACACATCACACTGCCGGAAAGAGGCAATGGCCATGTCCCTGGGGGTGTACCGTGTCTGCCGATGACATCACAGGAAGAGGCATAGTCTCTCCAATGGTGTCATAGGGCAAAACACCTGCTCTGGTGCTGTCATCACGGGGAGGGCGGAGAGGAGATGGATCTGCAGGGGGACCCAGTGGGCAGAATGATTTCCCCCAGGGGCAGGGGTGGGGGAGATGGCTTTGTCTGAAGGGATGGCATCAGGCGATGTCTCAGGGCGAGGGAGGTCTCTGCAGCTGCATCATAGGATGGACTCAGTCTGGGAAGAAGGTGGCTCGGGCAAGGCCTTGTCTGCCCTGCATCACCTGGAGGTGACACCGCAACCCCCAGGGCCAGCCTCATGGGCGGGCCCCTTCCTCGAGGGAGGGAGGCATGGCACAAACAGTTCTAGGAGGAGGATCTGGTCTGCAGAGTTCGAGAGACAGGCTTTGGCTCCGGCCCCAGGGCCCTTGTGGGTGCCAGGCACCTGGAGGGTGGCCTGCGGGAAGGATCCTGGCCTGGGGCCCGGGACCGCCCGGCCTGCCTCAGACAGTCACTTCATTCTTGCTGGCCGTGCGCAGGTGCTGGGGCAGATGGTGGCCAGGGATGAACTGCAGCTGCTCCAGGGTGCCTTGGCGCTGGAAAGGTGGCCTGCGGGCCAGTGTGCCTGCGCCCCCTCCCGCATCTGCCATCCAGGCGGGCTGGGGCGAGCCGTGCAGGCCGTGGTGGTGGTGGTGGGCGAGCAGGCCTGAGGGTGGTGGCAGGCCGTGTAGCGGAGTGGGCGGCCCCCCAGGCCCCAGCAGCAGGTTGGAGTGTGAGGCAGCCAGGCTGGCCCGGGCCGGGGGCTCAGGGGGCAGCGCAGGGCTGCGCGGGGGGGATAGCAGGTGCTCGCGGCTCTGGCGCAGGGCCTCGGGGGAAGACAGCAGCAGGTGCTCCTGAGACACCAGGCGTGCGCGGGGCAGTGTGAACTCGCAGCGTGAGGCCCGTGCGTCACCCAGCAGGTGCTCTTGGGACATGACCCGTCGCGGGTGGGGCGCAGGTGCCATGCCCAGCTCCTCGGGGCTGCCCCAGCCATCCACGCGGTAGCCACCCCCCGTGCCCGGCCTCCGCAGTGCATGCAGGGGCAGGGTCCCGCGGGGCATCTCCAGGTGCCGCCGCTTCAGATAGGCATCATCCAGGTCCTTCTCGGCTGGGGGGAGGGGGGACGGGAAGGCCAGGTGTGGGGTGTGTGTGGGTCCTGTCCAGCCTCCCCAGGGCCCACCCGCCCTGGAGTCTGGTCTATCAGAACCGCTACAAGACCTGCCCTCACGGGGGAACATAAAGACTCTGCTCTGCCAGGAGACTAAGTTAGTAGAATGGTTAGCCTTAAAAAAGAAATCATTGAGGCAGCTGGGCTTGGTGACGCATGCCTACAATCCCAGCTGGCCTACATAGCCAGGTTAGGGCTCAAAAAAAAAAAATCTTAGGACAGTCTTTGCCATCAGGCGGGGGAATTTCTGAAGACGAGGCCAGCTGGTTGTGTAGGAATGCTAAGGTGAGTAGAGCCCCGCAGGTGCAGGCAGGCATATACCTGGGTTTAGCCAGCTCTGAATCTAGACACTTGGAGATGAATGCTTCTCCTTAAGTCGTAGCTATACAAGTTGAGCACAAGTCCCCCAAAGTACAATAGGCCTTGGCAGTAGAAATTATGTATATTTCTGCTTTTTTTTTTGTCAGTTGTGCAGCCTGAACTCGGGGCCTGGGCGCTGTCCCTCAGCTCTTCAGCTCAAGGTTACCACTTGAGCCACAGTACCACTTCTGCCTTTTTCTGCTTATGTTGTGCTGAGGAATCGAACCTAGATCCTCATGCATGCAAGGCAAACACTCTACCACTTAGCCACCTTTCCAGCCCCTATGCATGTTTCTGAAACCCACCCAGGTAGTCCTGATACAAAGTAAGTTCAAAGGATTCTGGTGCAAACCTGGAGAAAAGCCCAGGAGAGGAGCCAAACTTGAGGACTTGCAGGCTACTGTCCATGGTCCTGACCCCAGTCCCTGCCCCTCCCGCCCGAAGCCCGACCCCCAAGCTCCCCTTCACCTGCACTCACCCAACCTCTTGAGGGAGGAGTAGCGGTTGAGCTCCGATTTCATAGCAGCCTCGTAGGATGGGGGCAGATGGGAGAGGTTGTGGAAGGATCGAGAGCAGGACAGTGTGGAGTAGTGCAAGTTGGGGCTGGGCGGTGGCATGGCCCGCCAGTCTGCAGCGGAGGGGGCAGGCCAGGTCAGTGTGGCATCTCTGCCCTCCAAGAAGCGGTCCAACCCCATCTCCTCCCCTGCTCACCCCCAGGAGTAGACCCCAGTCCTCCCCACTCAAACCCCAGGAGACTGGGCCTCGGCTCTTCTCTTCCTTCAGACCCGGGGGTCCAGAACCCAGTCCTCTTCCTCAGACCTTCAATCCCAGGCCCCAGGCCTCTTCTCTCAGACTCAGGTGTGTAGCCCCAGCCCCTAGGTGGGGGAGTTAGAAACCTGGAAGTCCAGCCTATCAAGCTTCATCATTTCAGGGCCCCTCTACCTCTTCCATCCTAGACAGGTTTGTGGTACAGGAAGGAAAGCACTTTCCAACACAGGGACCCCAAGGCCTTGCCCCAGGCTGGGGCGACGTGTCCCACGTCTTCACCCAGCCAGGGTGAGGAGAGATGACTTCTGGTGTCCTTCAAGGACACTAGCCTGCCTCACTGGCTGGCCACACAGTCCCATGAGTGGGGCTCACGGGCTTTGCCACGGGCTCCACCCAGAACCTTCAGCAGGTTGGGGAGGCCCTGCTTCCCCAGCAGCAGCCGCTGCCACAGCCCCAGCTTCTGCATACCCAGAGTGGCGGCCTGGTGCTTGGGGCTGTTGACGTTGAGGTGCAGGTAGTTGTGGTGGAGGTTATCTGAGGGACCAAGAAGGGAGGCGATGTCACTGCCATCGCTGTACCCACTGGGACTGCCATCCTAGCTGCTAGGAAGACCCTGGTTTGGTGCTTAGCCTCCCCTCCCTTCCCCAGTATCTCCCACTTCAGCCTGAACCATCTGTAACACTCAGTAAATTGAGGCTGAGAATGTGCAGGGTGAGTGTGTGGGCAGAGACTCGTGGCTGGCTTATAGACTGGGCTGTCCCAATACCCACCAGGCAATGCCTAGACCAGAGGTTGGTGTCTCTTTGCCATCTCCTTCCCCTTCATCCCCACATCATTCCTAGAGACCCCCATCCTGCCAGCCTGTCACCAGGGTCAGACCCGACCACCGTCCCTGCCCCTACTGCTTGTCCCTTCCGGCAACTGGCCCTCACCCAGGACAGAGGAACCTGTGGCCTTGTAGCCTGGCCCCAAGCTGGCACCTGCAGCCTCAGCTCCCGGTCCCCCTATAGTCCCTTCTCTTGGAGGTCTGTGTGAGCCAGAAGAACCTTGGCATGTGCTGCTCAGGATCCCTTCCCTGCCCCCTTCACCTCCTTCTGCCCCTCTTCACCAGCTTCCACCCCTCTTTCTCACCAACCACTCTTCAAACTCAATGCCCCCTCCCCCCAGCCTGCTCCCAGGCCTCTTTCCCCTCATCCATCTCCTGACTGCACAGGTCTCCTACTCTAAGCACCTCCGTGCCTCCCCACTGCCCTCTGTATCAAGGCAGAGCCGGGCTCGGCCTGGCACCCAAGACCCCACAGTCCACCCTTTCTCCTGGGCCTCAGAGCTGGTGGCCTTGGAAGAACGCTGTGCCAACCACCTAGAGCTTCCAGTGCTCAGCAGCTCTGGTCATCCTCCCGCCCTAGGCTCAAACAAGCCACTAGGGGAAGCAGTCCTCCCCTTCAGACCACAGTACACCCTTTCCAGCCGCTGCTCGCCCCACTCAGCGGCCTGGCCCAGAAGGAAGAATGGGGAGTAGGGGAATGGAAGGGCGGGGCGGGGCTACACGCACAGGGCGGGACCTCGATAACAGAGGGCGGGGCCACCGGGAGGGCAGAGCCAAACGGAAGGGTGGGACTTGGGGAAGTGAGCCTGGCCAACTGGGGTGGGCACCGCCCCATGGGATGGGGGCAGGGACAAGGGGCATGGGGCAGGGCCCTGAGCTCGGCCCCAGCCACGCCTCATACTCACCGAGGTTGGAGGGCTTCACTGTGTTGTAAAGGTTCTTGGGCGTTCTGGGCATGCTGTCAGATCCCCCAAGGCCTGGGGTCAGAGAGCTGCTCCGGGCGCGGTCCGGGCGGGCCCCAGGCCCCGCCTGATGCCTCAGGATGTCCACCAGGGCCCTACAGATGGCAGTGGGGCGGTCAGTGTTGTGGACTGGGCGTGGGGAGAGGCTCTCTCCTTTGGGGGGGTCCACCATCCACTCGGCGGCCAGCCTGGCCCATGCACCTTCCGGCGCAGCCCTCTCCCAGCCCCTCCGCAGCCTCGGCTCTGGACCCCATTCAGGGTCCCTTTGACGCTTTCCTCATGGCGATAGGTTCCTATTCATCCTCTTACACGGACCTCACCTCTCTATGCAGGTGGTCATGTCCCGGTGGGAAGCCTCCTGGCAGGCGCCCAATCCCAGCTTGCTCCTTCTCACCCCTCCCCATCCCTCCCCACCCGCCCCTCCCCTCCCCACCACCCACCCCCGCCTGCTCCTCCCCACCGCCCCCTCCTCCTGGAAGGACCTCCCCAGATTCCTGCTTGGACATTTACCTGGTCCATTTAGTCTAAAGCGGCATTCCATCCCTGACATCCCCAAGCCTTTATGTTCTTCCTGAGACACCAGTATCCAGAATTATAATGCATACATATGTGTTGGGTGACGCTGCCTCGGATCGTTAATGAGCGCTTAACTCTGCGGATTATACGAATCAACTCAGCCTTCATTGCCATCCGAATGGCGGGAGGACGGTTCGAACCCTCCTCGTACAGGCAAGGACAGGGAGGCACAGAGAGATGAAGTAATGTCCCCAGCCTCACAGAGCTCGCAGGCCTGGGCTTGGGCCTGGCAAGAAGGGTTGGGAGGTTGTTTGGCTCAACCCTGTGTGTACTCCAGCTCCTGGCCCACGAAAAGTGCTTTTAAAAATATTTGTTGAAGCCGGGCTCAGGTGCCTCAATCCCATAACCCTAGCTACTTAGGAGGCTGAGATCTGAGGATAGCGGTTCGAAGCCAACTCGGGCAGAAAAGACGGTGAGACTCTGGTCTCCAATAAATCGCCAAAAATCCAGAAGTGGAGTACAAGCTCCACTTGTGGAAAAAGCCAAGTGAGAGTGGGAAGTCCTAAGTTCAAGCCAGAGTACCGGCAGAGCGAGAGTGAGAGCGACAGCGAGAGCAAGAGGGAGAAATATTTGTTGAATGAATGAGGGCCTGAGTTCCCTCAACCCATCCCTCAACTGTTAAGAGGCTCCGTGCCTCTCTTCTCTGAGGGAGCTGGCTGTTCACCTCCCTGGACGCTGGTCCCGACATCCTGTTCGGCGGCCCCGCCCACACAGACCCCGCCCACCACAGAGCCCGTCCATGTAGGCCCCGCCCACTACAAAGCCCACCTGGAGACCACGCCCGCTCAGACCACGCCCACCAGAGCCCCCACATGAAGACCACGCCCACCGCAAAAGCCCCGCCCACCGCACACGCACCTGGGCACGTTGATCTCCCGGTGCGCCCGGGGCCCACGCGACGCCTTGCTGAAGGCCACTTTGGCGCCAACACCCACGGCCAGGGCGAAGCTGATGACCCCGCACACCACGTAGGCCGTGCTGCCCCCAGGGCCC